TATTGATTTCATTTGGCCTTTAGTTAACCAGGATTGTCTTGTTCACAGGGAGAACATGCAAACTCCACACAAAAAGGCCCCACACTGCCCCAAAATCAAATCCAGGACCTTCTTGCTGTGAGGCAAGAGCACTAACCGTATTGCCACCATGCCGCCCAAGGTTTTGTCTGGAGATTTAGAAGCTCTTGAGATAGTGTTTAAATATCCTTTATTACACAAGTTTACTCTTGTGAGCTTACCTCAAGTTGTATCTTGTTTTATTCCCATCTTTGAGCAATCCTTGATTATTGTCTATGTGGTGGATACCTCTGCCACCACTCCACAGTGTCAGTGGTGTGTCATGTCGCAGTATGTCGTGTCGTAGTATGTCATGTCTTGTCGTAGTATGTCATGTGATGTTGTAGTATGTCATGTTATGTCATAGTATATCATGTCATAGTATGTGGTGTCATAGTATGTGGTGTCATAGTATGTCATACTGTGTCGTAGTATGTCGTGTCATAGTATGTCGTGTCGTAGTATGTCATGTCATAGTATGTCATGTCTTGTCATAGTATGTCATGTCAGAGTATGTCATGTTATGTCATAGTATGTCATGTCGTAGTATGTCGTGTCATAGTGTCGTGTCGTAGTATGTTGTGTCATAGTATGTCGTGTCGTAGTACGTCGTGTCGTAGTACGTTGTGTCGTAGTATGTCGTGTTGTAGTATGTCGTGTCATAGTATGTCATGTCGTAGTATGTCGTGTCATAGTGTCGTGTCGTAGTATGTCGTAGTATGTCGTAGTATGTCGTGTTGTAGTATGTCGTGTTGTAGTATGTCGTGTCGTAGTATATCGTGTCGTATTGTGTCGTGTTGTGCAATGCCACACATTTTAGTTAATTAGTTCATTATTTACTTACACTTGTTCTTTTTGTTTTTTTGAGTGCCGGACAGAGGACCCTTGGGAGAGACTATCCATGAATCCAGGGTCCGCAAAGGCTAGTTCGAGGGCTGTGGGCTTCACTGCATCAGAGGATCCTGGCGATGACGGGGTCGCAACATCATTTTCTAAAAGTTGCAGTTTGCTTGTCCACACAACAACGCGACGCCAGCGTTCTCAAATTTCTCCACTCTGCAACCCGTTCTCAAAATCACCGTTTTGGATGGACAAAAGGCCAAAACGAATACAAACTTCACAGTTTCTACCAAAAACGTTGTCGTGTGGACAGACCCTGAGCCTAAATCTGCAGGGTTTGTGTGTTAAACATGTGTGAATGAAACAAAACACAACTCCAGGTCTGTTTGTGATGAGGAAACATCATTAGAACATAGATCAGAAAATAGCGTAATATGGGCCCTTTAACGCTGAAGAAATGTGTGAGGATGAGTAAATAGTTTGGACAGAGGTGAAAGTTGTATTTGTTTTGCGGTCACTGTAGTATCTTAGATGGCAAAATGCTGATAAACACACTAGTGGTTAAGTTACAATAGTCCTATGACCTAACAAAGAAGATGACATTTTCTGGGTCTCTCTCAACATTATTGCATCATAATTCACGATGAGAAAACATTTTAATTATCTCATGACTTACATTAATAAGTGCTTTAAGTACATTTAAAGATGTACAACACAGAAAAGATCATAATAATGTAATCATGTGGTATTCCTGGTCCTTGTCCTGTTGGCTTCATCAAACCAGGATCTGCAACATGCACTGTGGAGGTTTGCAACCGAGTGTGAAGCGGCTGGGATGAAGATCAGCTCTTCCAAGTTCGAGGCCATGGTTCTCGACCAGAAAAAGGGGGCTTACCCTCTCCGTGTGGGTGGAGAGTCCCTGCCTCAAGTGGAGGAGTTCAAGTATCATGGGGTCTTGTTCATGAGTGAGGGGAGGATGGAGAATGAGAGGCGGATATGTACAGCGTCGGCAGTGATGCGGTCACTGTATTGGTCCGTTGTGGTGAAGGGGGAGCTGAGTCAAAAGGCAAAGCTCTTGATTTACCGTCATTCTATGTTTTTACCCTCACCTGTGGTCATGAGCTCTGGGTAATGACCCAAAGGACAAGATCACACATATGAGCGGCCGAAATGAGTTTCCTCCGCAGGGTGGCTGGGCGCACCCTTAGAGATAGGGTGAGGAACTCAGTCACACCAGAGGAGCTTGGAGTAGAGCCACTGCTCTTCAACGTCGAGAAGAGCAGGTGAGGCGGCTCAGGCATCTGTTCTGGATGCCTCGAGGCATGTCCCACCAGAAGGAGGCCCCGGGGAAGACTCAGGGCACGCTGGACACTATGTCTCTCAGCTGGCCTGGGAACATCTTGGGATCCCCCCGGATCTTCACTGGAATAAGTCGTTAAACTGTCCAGCTCCAAACTGTGTGTCTCTGTACCTGCGCTCTGTGTGTTTGATTCTGTTTAAGACAATACAGAACTATGGACAACTAAACACTGTCTTATTTTTTATTTTCAAACCCTTTAAGGACATTTTGACATTGCATATTAAAGTAACTGTGTTGACAGAATTAAATAATATATAAAAAATAAAACCATATAGATTTTCAGGATAAGGTAACATAAGATAAATTAGCATGATTTGATCACATTTAATCAGCATGAAAAAGTGACGTTCATGTTCTGAGAAAAATAACTGTAGAGGGATCGAATAAGATCGAAGCCTAAACATAATTTTATTGTACGCAAACGATTTCCAGCAGCAACCTTGTTTTTTTGTTTGTTTTGTTTTCAGTGCATATCATTAGGATCACAGTCATTTACTTGCAGCACCACAATTTAATGTTTGAACCTGAGCCCATTTGGAGCAACTCCAGAGGCCCTTGAGGTAATGCAGTTTATGTAGCTACACAATAAGCATTGCACACTTCTCTCTCACTGAACTCTCTCACACAATCTTTCTCCAGGAAGTGCTCCTCTGAGTTTTTAAATCCACAGACACATCACTGCAGTCAGCACCAAACTGGATCTGTCTAACTGCTCCTCATGAGGTTTTTCACAGACATAACGCGCACTGATGGTTATTAAACTTATAACTCAAACCTCAAAATCACATAAAAGTAATTTAATATTCATTATTTGGGTATTATTTTCTGTTAAGTTCATGTTTGTTTACATGGCAACTAGAACCAACATTATCTCTTGGTTGAGGTGTCACAAAAATTTGAACCAGGGACAAAATATTCATCACAAAAACCAAGAATTATTTTATTTTCATTATAAACTCTATAGATCTTGAAACATCATTTGATTTTCATTATATGTAGTTTAAATAACTTTGATGACTTTGACTTGAATTTGAAGTGTTAAATTTAGCCTATAGTACACAGACTGCACTGTGTAGTGTTCTGATATTTGCAGGACGCATTGACCATATATGGGCATCTAAGGATTACCAAATAAGGGCGTGCAGTCAGACTTTACACAGTGACAAACCCGGCTGTGGTTTGCAGATTGTGTGCAGACAAAGACTAAGCGAGTCAGACAGAGACAACAACTTTTGCAATAGTGCTGACCTGAAGGTACTGTAAATAATGCTTGCTGCTGATGTGCCCATGAGCAAAACACATCAAACTAGACTGGGAATGGTGTGCAGGAGGATGCTTATAGACATTTCATTTTAAAGGCCCCATCTTTCACTAAGCATATACCACACACATTTCATACAGGCTTAAACTGGGGCCAAACTCTGAACTAAACCTGGATTATATTAAACTATATCAGGATTAAACCCAAGATCAAACCTAGACCCAAGCTGTATAGGAATGCAACCCAGAAAGTCACTCTAGGGTAGGGTTTATACCATATTTCAAAACAGCCCAGTCCGGATAGCGCCAGCCCTCCCTAAACCCTGAGTAAATCCTTTATCGCTCCTGAAAGGCACCGCCTGTGTCTTTCATAACTCCAAAGCTTGTTTCTGATGAGTGGAATGAACTTCCTGTGTGAGTGTTACTAGTTTAGGGAAGGCCAATGCTGCGACTGCTCCGTCAAGTTGAAAAGGATCTGGTCAGGAAACAGAAAATAACGTGACTCACCCTTCAAAATAAAAGCATGGATGACTTCTTAAGGGCTATACGCGTCTCTTCTGCTCGTGTTTGAGTTTGCCTGACTTTTCCTGATTGATTATTTATTTGATATTCATTAAATGCATTCATAAATATTGTCCTCATCAAAAACATATCCAGTTATGTTTCGTTTCATTTGTCCATGTTCAAATAGACTGTGTATGATACCCAACTTGTGACATCATCATGTGCTGAGCAGTAAGACAGTGCTCCTCAATGTTTTTAAAGTTCTACCATAAAAAGTGTGATAATTTCAGAGCTCAAATTGGATCTATTAAGATTCGAAAGACGCTTTTTCTCTTTACTGCACCAGCAAATTTGAATTACTGTAAAATATCTCAGTTTCTAGAATATGGTTCAAAAGGTACCATCTATTTTTTTTATTTAACCATATCATTTTTGAAACTACGTCATGAACAGGGTGGGTTAATATAAGTTTTTCTTCTTCCCACTCCTTTTCGAGAAATGTGCTTTCCTGTTGTTTACAATATGTAGTAAACATAATTATTGTTTCTGTCTTGGCATAAACTCGAAATAAAAACGAATCAATCATAAATAAATAAATATATACAGCAGCTTTAAATTCCTTCAGACATTGACTACATTAGTAGCCCTTTATTTCTAAACGGTGACAATGATACGTTTATTAATTGCTGTTGTACCAGACCAATGTCCACTTCATCCCAAACCAAACTCAATGCTCCAAAAAGAGTAGCAAATCTGGGTAAGAAGTGTTTTGCCCAAAGACAACACTACAGCACTGAATGGAACAGTCACTTATGAGGGAGTGGGGATGAAAACACCCTTTATTCTGACTAAAGTATATATTATTTTTAAGTAACAGGTTTTATTCAACACTAGATACTAAATATGCATTTTTGAAGTTTTATGTTAAAAGCGCTTCCCGGAAGTCGTGCGTAATTTGGTTCGCTTGTCTCCGAACGCTCCCACTTGGAACAAGCCTGCGATGACACACTTCTCCACTCACTCGTATACAAACACGTCCACGGCCTCTCCCTGGCTCGGGTCCCCGCCACCGCTACTTCTTCCCCGGCTCATGTAACGGCATCCGACCGTGAGGGGATCGAGGCGCACGGAGGAGCCTTCTGAAAACGCGTGGATTTACCTGAAACGGCGAACATGACGGATGTTTAGACGCGTACATGACAGCGGAGAGAGCTCGGAGGGCTATTCTGTTCAGGACTGAGGTTTACCACGCTTAACACGGCATTTGCCCCGAGTGTTATCGCCACTTAATCGCCTTCCTGTGTCTTTTTGATCCATTGTAGCGAACCAAAACTACGATGGCACTGCGGACTGCGTTGCGCGCTTTGGTACTGCTCTATTTGCACTGTTTCCTACACTGTAGCTCATTCAACCTGGACGTGGACCAGCCTTTCGTGTTCTCCGGACCCCAAGGCAGCTACTTTGGCTTTTCTGTGGACTTTTTCAACCCCTCCAACTCTAAGTAAGTGCTCATGACCATCAGGTAGTTGATTAAACAGAAATTAAAGGTCCTATATTACGCAAAATCGACTCCTGTGAGCTTTAAACCACGTAATAATCTGAAAAAATACCTGGAGTTGTGTTTTGATTCATTCACACGTTTGAGTAACCTTTTATTATTAGTTTGTCTTCATCTCCAAACCTAAGAATGCCATGTTCCCCCTTGTGCCTTTTGCGTTTTGTTTACTAAAGTCTGGCTGAAATTATCTTCTTTGTGAAGTTGTATGGCGTTTAAAAACACAGTGGAGCACTTCCTGTATCACCACGGCATCACAAGCTGGAACAGAGCGTGTGAATGAGGATGTTTTGAAAGTTTAGATGAGGAAACAGTATTATAACAGAGATCAGAAATTGGCATAATATGGGGCCCTTTAAATATTTGGAACATGTACACAACTTTCAAATTCACAATGGTGTAATTACCCACATGTACCTTATCAAACCAAAACAGCTACTATGGCCATTGTATCCTCATTTCCATAAAAGGAAATAAAGTTATGATTGATGGAGAGAGTTCTAATCCCAAACTCAAAGTAATTATAAGACTTTGAGTTTGTGGGGTGTGGAGAAGCAGGGAGCTGTAATTAGAATGTGTTATGTAAAATGGGCTTTTGTTTTTATGGGGCCATTTAGTTTTCTCACTGTTGATTGACCAGTACACTCCAGAATACTTGAATTTACTCCAAAATTTAAATGTGCACAACGTAACTTCTCTGCTGGAGGTTCTGCCACATGCTGGTCTCCATTGCTTTGTCTGAAATTTCCCACAGAATAAAAAAATTTACTTCAACATCTAGCATTTAGTCAGTTACGTGTGTTTCTTGCTGCCTTGAAAAACATGTGTACTATAAAAGCAGGGTCGCCGCTCCACAGATCTGATTGTAACTTGGCATGTTGGCATCACCTGTTTGTCTTAATGGAGGTAGACTTTAATGCTTAACTATGAAACACTCCAGAAGAGTTACATTGTGCATCTTTATGAGACAAGTTACATGGATATCAAGTTTTTTGTGGATGCGTGGCAGTGAAGTTCTTTTGATTCATGGTGAGGTTAAGTGAGATATTTGATTCAAAACATTTATAAAATTTTTATAACTTTTTAGCACACTGAAAACATGACTACAGCTGTCTTATAGGTTTGTGGTAAAAAAGGGATGTGGTGAGTGTTTATTTATAATTTAAAGTAGCCTAATCTACATCACGTTGTCTCAGTTCAGATTCAAAATGAAACTTTGGTTAATGTTACAAGTTGCCTTTTTCAGCATCAGTTGCACAAGCCATAAAATGTGTAATGAGGAAGAACAAAACAGATAAGTTGCACTTTTTGGGGGAAATTTATTTTATAAAATCAGAGACCAGGAACCGACATTTCATGTGTAAAGTCAAGTTCTAGTAAAAACAATAGAAGAGAGAACAACAGACTGTTAACGTCACATATGAACAGTTCTTCAGATAAACTATAACATAAACAACAGAACAGAACAAGTTTACCAAACTCTCCATCTCACTCCAAATCACTAAATCCATTCAATTTTTCATCCTCGGTGTCACTTCTGAACAACTCTGTGACCTCCGGAGGTAAACAGAGCGCCGCTTCCTCTTCTGTGTCGCTGTTGTCAGACTCAGCATCAGTTCCATTTAGAATTATTCTGGCCTTTCTGAATCCCGACAGGATGGTTTCGGTGTCACTGAAGTCCAGGCTTTGGTGATCCATCCAGTGACTTCAGGAAAGTTGCATGTGTCACAAGTTTCTCGCTCACTCTGAACTTTCTTTCTGCTGCTCGATTACCGTTTTCAGCTGCAGATTTCACGATTTGCAGCTTGTAATCTGCAAAATGATTTTCTTTTTGGGGGCATTTGTGTTCAGTCTTCTCAGTCGTCTTTATAAGTTGTTTAAATGTAAAACTTTCATTGGTGCAGAAGTAATGGTGCGATCGACTGACATGATACAGACAGAACAGACGCTCTTTCTGCAGGAGTAGCAGCAGATACTGACACACAAGTCTTGAGCGCCCCCTGTCGGCTGTCAGTGTGAAAATTTTAATATATAAGTTGCATTGGAGTATAAGTCGCAGGACCACCCAAGCTATGAAAAAAAGTGCGACTTATAGTTTGAAAAATACAGTACTTTAAGGTCCCTGATGAGAAATGTGTCCTGCATTTGACCCATTGTTCAACACCACTTGGGTTAAACTTGTTAGGAACAGTGACCAGCCATAGTTGAGCACCTGGGCAGCCTTCTCCAGATCTAGTCAGCAGTACCTAGTGTTCGTCTGGTTTACCCTCTTTTATTTAATCCATTTTTTACACTCTGGCAAATGTGTTTCCAAAACAAAAGAGATTCCTTGCAGTGCTGTTATTGTTTCCCTATTGTTTCAGTTTCACACCAGCCACAAACCACACTATTACTATGCTACTTTGAGCCTGCAGCTTTTTCTCTATACAACTTAGATCAGATGAAATTTAGAAAAAACAAATTTGGACTTTTGATTATTATAAATTCTGATGTGATCTGGAAAAGAATGCCAAAACAAGTAAGATTTTTGTTACCCTCGGCTTACAAAAAATGAAATAATCCCTTGTTGGAAGCACTTTTGGGTGTTTCAGAAATCCAAACTATGCACTTGGTTATTCTATTTTGAACATTCTGAAAACTGAAAATTGGAGCTGTTCAATTGCATGTGCATGATTTGGATCTGAGTTCAGACTTTAAAGGAAGAGATTTGACTATTATGTGTGTTAAAGTATGTTCAATATATTAATTACATTGTTTTCTGTCGCCAGCCCCACTAAAAATGATCAGAAATAAGTGATCCAACTCGTCTCAACTCCTTTTTTCCACTGGCAGAGCCTCCTGACTCTCAGACAGAAAACAGTCAATAAAATCTATAGCTTCTAAATTGAGCTGGACTAAGCACAATTTACTTTGGCTGTTCTAAAAATGGGAGGCTGTAGTCCTGGTTCAGATCCAGTTTAGTCTTGGTTTGGACTTGGTTCAGTCTCAAAACATACACCATTATCCTCCAGTTAAAGTAGTCCTGACCAAGGGAAGCTCAAGACCTGGAGACGGGACCCTGAGCTGCGTGCTGTAGTGTCCTCTGATCTAGTAGCATTGAAGGATGGGTCAAATGCAGAGGATGATTTTCCCTCATGATGGATTATTAAAGTACACCTTAAACTTTTCAACCCATTGTCATGCTCAAGGCCTGGTTCAGTTCTGGTTTAGTCATGTTTCAGTCGTTTTTCAGTCCTTGTATTGTCCTGGTCTAGTCCTGGTTTAGTTCTGGTTCAGTCCTTGTTCAGTCTTTGTTTTGTCCTGGTCTGTCTCTGGTCTACTCCTGGTTTAGTCCTGGTTTCGTTCTTGTTTAGTTCTAGTTTAGTCCTGGTTTAGTCCTGATTTATTATTTGTTCAGTCCTGATTTAGTATTTGTTCAGTCCTGGTCCGTCCCTGGTCTAATCCTGGTTTGGTTCTGGTTCCATCCTGGTCTATCTCTGGTCTAGTCCTGCTTTAGTCCTTATTCTGTCCTGGTCTATCCCTGGTCTAATCCTGGCTTGGTTCTCTTTTAGTCCTAGTGCCATCCTTGTCTAGTCCTTGCTTAGTCCTTGTTCTGTCCTGGTCTATCCCTGGTCTAAACCTGGTTTGGTTCTCTTTCATGCCTAGTTCCGTCCTCATCTTGTCCTGGTTCGGTCCTGGTTTAGTCCTTGTTCAGTCCTGGTCTATCCCTGGTCTAATCCTGGTTTAGTCCTGATTTAGTCCTTGTTCTGTCCTGGTCTAATCCTGGTTTAGTCCTAGTTCCATCCTGGTCTACTCCTTGTTCAGTCCTGGTCTAGTCCTGGTTCGGAGATTAGCTGAAAAGTTCCCCTGAATTGTATCCTTACATATATTTTTTCCCTATTATATATATTTTTATTAATTACACATTCAAGTTGCAATATATCTCAACACATTTGCTCATACATACAAACAAAACATGCAAAAATGATGTGGTCTCAAACACACACTCTGTATCTTTCTAAGTTTCTTGTGTTGCGCTGCTTAAATTATGTTCATGGCAGGTAAAGAAATAATTCATATTTCTTCTCAAATCAACAGTTACAGATGCTATAGGACACGATGAACAAGAAAAAAATGATGTAAAATATGATTTCATGGTAAACTTCTGCGAGGAAATGAGGATTATATTGATATTACAGATTGAAAAAATGTGTGCCACTTTGGAAAGATCAGTAAAATGACATAAACAAAGGCCAACGTTTGGTCTCACTACATTCACATTTTATTTTATTATGATATAGAATGCTGATTTTCTAACTCAATACATCACGTGCTAAAGGCCGGTGAGAACATCCCCCTTCTCCCGGGCACAGCAGTTATCCATGTGCCGTCCAGGAGAAGGGTGCGCCCGGAGGGAGGAGGGGGACATTCCTGCCAAGAGAACGGGACGCTCGAGCTGAAACTTTCAAACCAGGGGGACGCTCGAGCCGGTATTCCCTGGTTCAGTCCTCACTCTGTTCTTCTCGTCTCCAGGTCGGATGTTCTGATCGGGGCTCCCAGGGCGAACACGTCTGGCTCCGGCTCGATAGTGGAGAGAGGAGCCGTCTACAGCTGCCCCTGGCGCTCTGTCTCCTCCTGTCAACAGCTGCAGTTTGACACCACAGGTACCAAGACTGGACAAATGTCAACCTGCTTTACACGTGGTTTAGACCTGGTTGAGTTCTGGTCTCGTCCTAGTTCCATCCTGGTTTATCCCTGATCTGGTCCTGGTTTTACTCCTGGTTTTACTGTTGGTTTTACTCCTGGGTTAGTGCTGGTTTAGTCCTGGTTTAGTCCTGATTCTGTCCTTGTCTTGTCTTCAGTTCAGTCCTTTTCTAGTCCTGGTTCATTTATGGTTCAGTTCTGGTCTAACCCTCTTAGTTTAGTTCAGTCCTGGTTCAATTCTGGTTTAGTCCTGGTTTAGTCCTGATTTAGTCCTGGTTCTGTCCTCATTCCATCCTCATCGAGTCTTAGTTCAGTCCTGGTCTAATTCTGGTTCACTTACAGTTCAGTTCTGGTCTAGCTCTGGTTTTAGTCTTAGTTTAGTTTAGTCCTGTTTTAGTCCTGGTTTCTTCCTGGTCTAGTCTTAGTTCAGTCCTGTTCTAGTCCTGGTTCACTCCTGGTTCAGTCCTGGTCAAGCCCTGGTTTTAGTTTCCGTTTAGTTCAGTCCTGGTTTAGTCCTGGTTTAGTCCCGGTTCAGTCCTGGTTCAGCCCTGGTTCCATCCTGGATTATCCCTGGTCTACTCCTGGTTCAGTCCTTTTCCACTTCTGGTTCACTCCTGGTCTAGCCCTCGTCTGGTCCTGGTTTTAGTCCTGGTTTAGTCCTGGTTCCTTCCTGGTCTAGTCTTAGTTCAGTCCTGGTCTAGCCCTGGTTTTAGTCTTAGTTTAGTTCAGTCCTGGTTCACTCCTGGTCTGGTAATGGTTTTAGTCCTGGTTTTAGTCCTGGTTTTAGTCATTTTTATGTCCTGGCTTTAGTCCCGATTTCGTCCGTATTTGGTAGACCGATGTAGACCTGATGTAGACCTGATGTAGTCCTGTTTCAGTCCTGTTTCAGTCCTAGTTTAGTTCTAGTTATGTCTGATTTAGTTACACATGTTGCTTTGGTCTGTTACACTTCACATTTCAGACAGACATTAACCTGTATCATTATGAACACTTTTATGAGTCATTTTATAAATAATGTGGGACCTATTGAAGTAGCTTAAGGTGATGAATACTTCTTTACTGGTGGGAGTCATGTTCTGTGCAGTCTGCGTCCCTGTTAGCCTTTTATAGCGTCAGAGGCCTGGGTTTGTGTAAACTCATAAACCTTCTGAGCGTTCTCAGGGCCTCCCTAACTCTGCTCCTCGTGGCACGTTTCTGTACACTGAGCTGACTGATTATTATGTTTTATAGTTGTTTTAGTCTTTTATATTTAATTGTAATTTCATTTATGATGAGTATATGCATGGGCTATAACTGTTTATCTGTTATTATAGATGTATATCATATTTAGAATGATAAACTGCTCTTTTGTTGTTATCTTGTCAAGTTAACTTGTGGTTCAAGGTGATAGTGAGTTTTTATGGACTGCAGTGATCAAAATATCAAAGTGGTTCAAAGAAAGTCTTGGTTTAGTCCTGATTCAGTCCTGGTTTAATCCTGGTTCAGTCCTGGTTTAGTCCTGGTTCTGTCCTGGTCTTTTCATGGTCTTTTCATGGTCTATTCCTGGTCTATTCAGTCCTGATTCAGTCTAGTCCTGGTTTAATCCTGGTTTAATTCTGGTTCCATCCTAGTCTATTCATGGTCTATTGCTGGTCTATTTTTGGTCTATCCCTGGTCTAGTCCTGGTTCAGTCCTGGTTCAGTCCTGGTTCAGTTCTGGTTCAGTTCTAGTTCAGTTCTAGTTCAGTCCTGGTGCTGTCCCGGTTCAGTCCTGGTCTATCTCAGGTCTAGTCTTGGTCTAGTCTTGTCTAGTCTTGGTCTAGTCTTGGTCTAGTCTTGGTCTAGTCCTGGTCTAGTCCTGGTTTAATCTTGGTTCCATCCTAGTCTATTCATGGTCTGTTGCTGGTCTGTTTTGGTCTATCCCTGGTCTAGTCCAGGTTCAGTCCTGGTTCAGTCCTAATGCAGTCCTGGTCTGGTCCCTGGTCTATCCCTGGTCTAGTCCTGGTCTAGTCCTGGTCTAGTTTTGGTTTAGTTTTGGTCTAGTTTTGGTCTAGTCTTGGTCTAGTCTTGGTCTAGTCTTGGTCTAGTCTTGGTCTAGTCTTGGTCTAGTCCTGGTTCCATCCTGGTTCCATTCTGGTCTATCCCTGGTCTATCCATTGTTTACTCCTGGTGTAATCCTGCTCCAGCCCAGTCCTGGTTTAGTCCTGGTTGAGTTCTGTTTACTGCTTGCTCGTCCTCACCTAGACCTGGTTCGTTCCTGATTCATCCCTTGCTAGTCCTGGTTCAGCTTTGGTTTAGTCCTGGTTTAGTCCTTGCTACTTCTGCATTCGACGTGGTTCAATTCTGGTCTAGTCCTGGGTTAGTTCTAGTTTAGTTCACTACTATATGCTATACTAATCTTTACTTTGAGTTTTGATATTGTGAACATCAAATAGCGAGTGCTGTCGGCGTTTGCTTACATGGTCCGTGTTGTTAATGATAATTCAGATGCTTAAATGTGTAGCCTGCAGTACGGTTCAGTGATGGAGTAAGAGTTGAGGCGGTCTCTCCCTCCCTCGTGTTTGGACAGATCTAAGAATGTGAGCTGTAAAGAGCTTTAAAGGGACAAGTGCGGACACATCTGAGAAGGTACGCAACGCTTAAAATAAAGATTCTAATAGATCAAATTATAAAAGAAGTGTTTGATACCGTGTGAAAGAGGATCAGGTTTTAATAGTACAGGTGAAGAGCTGGTTTGCAAAGCCTTAGTAAGCAACTTTTTAGCCAAAAAATAGACTTCAGTTTTGTTGATTGCACTGAAAAACATGTGTCTGTGAGCAGGCTTGCATCTCCACAAACCTGTCCCATATTTCATTGTTTCCCCAAGACTGGGTCGTGACCTGCAGGTGGGTCGCAAGAGATTTATTTTTTTGGGTCGCATTGTCATGATCGGCATGTAGGTCTGCAATTTACATATACATACATCCCCCACTCCTTCACTTTTTTGGCAGCACCGCTTTGAGTAACCAATTTTCTGTGAGGAACACTGATTACTGTTGTCTCTTATTTAAAACTTGAGTACCATATTTTTTGGACTATAAGGCGCACTTAAAATCCCTAATAATCAGTGCGCCTTGTGCGACATCAAACCGATTTTCACATATATCCACCGAGTCGTGAACAGAACAGAAGCTTCAGTGCACAAGGAGCAAGCTGTTTGTTTTTTTTAATCACTTATAGTTTATGCTAGGGATGGGCATGTTTAGTCGACTAATCGATCGATAATTGATCATTAAGAATTCCATCGATTAACGTAGACAAACTGAATGTATCTGCACACGTACGATCTTTGAAAACAGGTTTAGTCTGGTTTAGTCCTGGTTCAGTCCTGGTGCCGTTATGGTACTGTACTGGTCTAGTCTTGGTTTAGTCCTGGTCTAGTCCTGGTCTAGTCCTGGGTCTAGTCCTGGTTCAGTCCTGGTTCAGTCCTGGTTCAGTCCTGGTGCCGTTATGGTGCTGTCCTGGTCTAGTCTTGGTTTAGTCCTGGTCTAATCCTGGTCTAGTCCTGGTCTAGTCCTTGTTCAGTCCTGTTTCAGTCCTTTCAGTCTAGTCCTGGTTCAGTCCTGGTTTAGTCCTGGTTTAGTCCTGGTTTAGTCCTGGATCAATCCTGTTGCCGTTATGGTGCTGTCCTGGTCTAGTCTTGGTTTAGTTCTGGTTTAGTCCTGGTTCAGTCCTGGTGCTGTCCCAGTCTCGTCCTGGTTTAGTCCTGGTTCAGTCCTGGTTTAGTCCTGGTTCAGTCCCGGTGTTGTTATGGTGCTGTCCTAGTGCTGTCCGGATCTGGTCCTAGTCTAGTCTTGGTTCAGTCCTGGTTTTAGTCCTGCTCTAGCCCCGGTTAAATCCTCACCAAGACCTGGTTCTTTCCTGATTTTTCCCTTGCTATTCATGGTCTAGTTCTGGATTAGACCTGGTTCAATCCCGGTCTAGTCCTGGCCTAGTCCTCACCAAAACCTCAAGTGAATTTAGTTAAACACAATTTTAACATTTAACTGTGAGCACGTGGTAGTGGGTGGGTGCCTCTTACTGAACGTGTCGTTTGGGAGGAAAATGTGGAAAATATCGTGATGTTTGTGGCACTCTGTCTGTCTGCTTCCTGTCAGACAACATGCATTAGTCAGTGTGGTAAGATGTGTCCGAAAATACCACAGACTGGACCATTCTGATAAGAGTTTCAGGGCAGCGTTATTCCCAGGAAAGACATTCCTGGAGTTAGTCCAAATATGTTCCAGTATTCACCGTCTTGTGTTTATCCACGAAGCTCCTCTGTGTTTTAAAATCCATACACCTTCCACTAGATGATGACCACCTGCATCGTAGAACCAAATGAAATGAATGATTGAATAAAAGAATAAAGAAGAAGCACTGTGTAAGTTTTTTTCTGGTGGAGGTTGTGTTCAATACTCAATAGGCAAAAACACAAAACAAATAGAAATAAAAACAGAAAAATATAAAGAAACAAGGAACTCTAAACTTGAGTGGATCAGTTAACTGCATCCTATCATTTTTCTTGCACTGTTGACACTGTTGACAACAGGCTCAAATATTTTCTGATATTGCACAATTTACAACAAATTTACAACCAAGGACACACAGACGGTTGACTCCTGCTGTCACACTCTGTACTTAAGCACAATTTTCTGCATGTCAATTTTGTTACATGTTGCCACAGTTCAGAACAAACGTAAATTAAAAAAATTTTCATGCATTTTGCATTGACAATACACATCATATTTTTCAGACTGTAAGTCACTTCGGACTATAAATCGCATTTTTTGGATTTATTTATTTAGACCAGGAGCTGACATTTCATCTTAAAAGTCAAGTTCTAGTAATAACAATAGAAGAGAGAACAACAGACTGTTAACGTCACATATGAACAGAACAACAGATAAACTATAACATAAACAACAGAACAGAACAAGTTTAACAAACTCTCCATCTCACTC